TCTTATCGGTCTAGTGGAGGTAATTGGCAGTAGGCGGTCTCTCAAGTACCCAGATCCAATACCATGAGGGCTTTGTAGGTGACAAGTAGCACCTTGAATTGCACCCAGAGATCAACAGGTAGCCAGTGCAGCTCGCGGAGGATAGGTGTTACGTGGGTGAAACGAGGCGCACCCACGATCGCTCGCGCGGCCGCATTCTGGACCAGCTGAAGTCGCCGAATATTTTTCAAGGGCAGCCCCATGTAGAGCACATTGGAGTACTCCAGCCTAGAGATGAATTTGCATGAGATGAATTTTCCTAAAAACATTTCGTAGCTAGATATGATCAACACAATCAAAAGCCTTTCCATAGACAGTGAAGAACATTTATTTCTTAATAGAATTTGGTTTTGTCAATTATTCAGCACATAGCAGCAATAATATCTCATATTCTTTAGCCCTTCTAAAGACAGTTTGAATATTTGGTATCTTGTAGGGCTCTCATTTGTGATCGATAATCCTAACCATTATTTTACTAGTATTGAAATTAAAGGTATTGTATGATAGATGCACAGTCTGTTAAAAGTCCTTTATTTGTATAATAGTAACATATTAAAATACATATCATGTTACATCAGTTTGATTATTCCTTCTAAAAACCATTGTCATTCAAGCATGATCAGATATTAAAATAGAACCTATAGACTAGCCAATATATTGATAATAGGATGAATTTAAGTGGCTTATGAAAGTGGCATATAATATAATGTATCATACATCACATTGTAATGAATAGAAATACAGTACCATAAAAATAGAAAAAGAGCATCAAAAATTCTCAAATAGGAATATTAGTTGTCTCAGGAATGTTTGGAGCTGGAAAAACATGATCAATAATGCTAAATGCATCAGTAGTGTCAAAAATACCAGTTTCCTTAAAGCTATTGCTTAACAAGTTTTCTGCAGCTGACATTTCTCCTTAGTACATAAAATGGTCGTACAATAATTCTTGTTTTCTGTCTATAAATCTTTGGAGCCATTATTTCATCACATCATTCCTTCAAATAGTTCTCAG